AAGTGACAGTGAAAACAGTGAACATAACAGTACAGTGAAAAAAATCAGGAATTACAGTATGTATATCGACTGTCAAATAATTACAACTCTAGAACTGCGTAATGTCTAAAGCAGAGGAATATTCATGATTAATATAAATTTTAGCAAGGTGTAACCAATAATTATAAATAATGTTTTTGATAATAATACCGTTTGACAGCGTGGTGTTGTATTTTAATGATTATATGATGATAACCACAGAGCAATTCAGGCGTCCAGTAAGGTTGCCCGCGAGTCTGGTGTCAGTGTGTACTTTGTGTATATGTATGAGTTCTAAATAAACCATTCTACTACTATCATGAAAGTTCATCTGTGTTGGTAATTACATGTTTAGAGTTAAAACGTTTGGTCCAACACACTCAGGTCTTCCTCAGTAGACTTAAGTCTAGGAAGACCAGAGTGACTGGTCGAAAGCTCTAGGTGAGAGAACTGTTTTGTGTTGGACCAAAAGTTTTAACTCTAAACATTCCACTATTACTCCACAGTACCAGGAGATGCTGCGGGCACTGCGCGCTCAGGTGGACAGCCTGTCGAACGAGAAGGCCAGGGTAGAGGTGGAGAGGAATAGATGGCAGGCACAGGCCGAGGAGTGGCAGGGGAAGTACGTTATGTCATTGTTTGTTTGTTTGTTTGTTTTGTTTAGGATCTCCATAAGTGTGAATCTCACACTACTCTTCCTGGAGTCCGTAGTGAATAGTTAGATACATATTTGGACCATCGCACACCGGGGAATGCCCTACTCTTTTTTCGAAAAGTATGGCGGGTTCTTTAACGTGCGCGGGGTGTGACTCTCCTCAAACACGGGGCATTGTGAAATGGGTAAAAACCATTTTCAAAAGGTATGTTCCTCCTGTTTTGATGCAGGGCCGAGTATCAGATGAAGGTGCGCCCCGGACTGCAGGTAGAAATCGAGAAGAACAGGGTGGTACGTACTCGTCTACTTAAGTCAATGTTGGATTTGTTGGAAGATGTGTACAGTTTCACATAGTTGCTATAACGAAATACAGTACGGGGGGCCTGTTCAAAATGTTGGAGAGCAAAGTATTACATAAATGTCCACTAAAGAACGTTCATCATCATTTGAAACCGTGAACCAATAATATTTTAGGAGCTGGCAGCCATCACGACAGCTCGAGTTGGCCTTGAGAGCAGAGTGGCGGCCGCACTGGAGGAGATTGCGTTCCGTAGGCAGAGTCACGCCGAGGTAATAATGCTTGTTTATCTATTTATTCGACACTTTACAGAATAAAAATATTCTGACGGGAGACGGAACAGGAACAGTATGTTCTCTGCCAGGCCGTTTGTCTAATGCCTAAAGCCCCTGTCACTCATTCATGACTTCCCCCCTTGAATTTGTCCCCGAACACCAGCCTACCAGGTTCGGCTAATTTTCGGAAGCACTCTGACCACGCCCACCTCTCTAAATGCCAATCGAATTCGAGTTAAACTTGAGACAAATTTGACCCCCGAACACGCCCGAGCACTGCTAACTTTCTCGGCTAATGTTCGGGAGGCCAAATTTGTGAATATGACATGTGACAGGGGCGTAACGTTGCAAATATAGGAAACACCTACGTATAACAATAATTTGTACCTGAAATCATTTCCTTAACAGGTTATACCGCTCTACACCGATGACTTGCTTTCATTCTTTTCATCTTCTGTGTGTTACACTTGGAATGGGACTTCGGGCATGAGTTAAGAATTAAGGTAAATTGGTATTCACTGATGCAATTTCAAGGCGGCAAAACTGGATTTCTAAAGTAAACTTTCTGGCCATTCTTTTTATGCAGTACGTTGAATGAATCCTATAGCATACTGATATCTGTGAGGCAAAAATGCAATGTTGCTGAGGGAAAACGGCCTCATAGATAACATTGAAAGAATGACCAGAAAATGTACTTCGAAAATCGAAATACCAGCCTTTAACTATTCACAATGTGTGTGGGATCATTCGTCTTCCACTGTCTCAGAAAAAGAAGTCAAACCCAACAAGTTAGAATTTAGTGTTTAGTAGTTAGAGTGCGGCTACAGGACATTTCCACACGACTGTAGACGCAGAACACAGTGAATGATGAGTTAGAGTAGTCACATACTATATTGCTCGTACCCATCCTGTTGTCCATCCTTTATTTTCATGTAGCATGTACTTGCAATCAGCCTACGGACAGGAACTTACAATAAACTTTCTGTATCCCCAAACATTTCCCAGGAGGTAGCTGCCTTGCGGGCGGAGTTGGCTGCGACTGTGACCCGGGTGGAGTCTCTGCAGTACGTGGTGACGGGCTCAGACCTGAGCGACACCCTGAGGGAGATCCGCGAACAGTACGAGGCCATGGGCCAGGCGAACAGGCAGGATGCTGAGGCCAAGTACAGGCAGAGGGTAGGAAAAGATCAAACATGTCCAGAATGTTCGCGTGAAAAACAAACTCTTTTCTAGAGGCATCAAGGTAGTTGCAAATAATAAAGATACTTTAACACCCGAGAAAGGGGAAATACACGAAGGTATAGGGCCCATTGGGCTGGGCAGTTGGTGACGCCTATATACTTCCTTATTACAATACGAATAATATCCTTAATACAAATATTTATTAATGTAACGATTTCTCAAACAGATTTTTTTAGAATTACATGCATGCATCCTTTTTATTACCATATAGTAGATGAATGGCTTAAACAATACAAGAAATGACATGTTATTACTTCACTTGCGTTTGCTACTACATGTATGTGACAGTTTGTCTTCATCACTTTTAAGTTTGCGGAGATCGCCCAGCAGCGCGAGGCAGACAGCGAGGCTCTGGCAGCCGCCAGGGCAGAAGTGGCGGAGTTCCAGAAGAAAATCGCCTCCCAGAGGGCACAGGCCGAGGCTTGGAGGAGCAAGGTTAGAGCGGTGTGACTGTGGAGTAGGGCTTGCTTTCGGAGAGTGAATTCGATCTATGTGGCTAACATCTAGTCTCCACCAGGCTGAATAAATCGTAGATAGAAATCGGCCTAAAGGGGTATTAATTGGCAAGAGAAGGTAGCCGGCCAGAGAAGCTCCATTTGCCTGCTACCTTCTCTTGCCATTTAATACCCTTTTTAGGCCGATTTCTACGATTTATTCAGCCCGCAAAAGAAGTCTGGTGGAGACTAGCTAACATCTGACTTAAGACCATGTCACATATTCACCTTCCCTCAAATTTTTCCTTACACCAACAATATCCTATGCCCTACCATGCAACCTGATGAAATTATTGTCGGGTGCTTTTTACATGTTTCCTAACAGAACGGAGGTTTAGAGGACAGTCTGAGAGTTGCCCAGGCCCGCCTGCTGAAGGAGGTGGAGGGCTACAGGCAGGCCATCCGGTCACGCGAGGCTCAGATCGCGGCTCTGAAGCAGGAGATCTCCCAGCACATCGCCGACTACCAGGAGCTGATGGACGTCAAGCTGGCGCTCGACATCGAAATCGCGGCTTACAGGAAGCTGCTGGAGGGAGAGGAAGTGAGGTACACTTCCAGTTTCAGTTTATTCATTTCACCAGCAGTCACACTCAGGTACATACATGTAACAACCTGTTTTACAGGCAATACTGGGCATACAAAGCACGAATAACAATGTACAATATTACGAAATCACATACGATACAGAATGGCATAACAAAACAAAACACAGTTTCACCTATCCATACGATCATGACATATCACAATTCCTGAATGAATTCTTACCAGTGCCAAAGTCTTACGTTGTTTCAGTGACAGGTTATTCCACAGTTGGGGGCCGTAGAAGTGTGATCTCTTAATTTTCTCTTAATTTGTCCCCTAGGCTGCTGGGCCAGGCCTAGACGACTGAGACAGTGAGGCAAGCGGCCATGTGAGAAAGTCACGACGCAAGAATGAGATTTCATAAAATGTCGCAAGCTTAAGCATGTGCTATAAGAAAGTATAGACCTTTTCTTCCGTGTACGGGAGTATGAACAGGTACAACTGTGTGTTGTAGGTTTGTGTCTCTCTTCTTATAGCTTTGACCGGATGGTATGTGGTAGGTAAAGGTGGATGGGTGGTGATTTTGACAGTTGATAGAGGTCATGTTTGAAGGTGAACCAGGACACGCTGGTGAGAGTGAATGGCGAGTATGTGGATTTAATTTGTTTGTTTCGCATAACCGATAAACCGCCTTTTTAGGCGTACGTAACACACCAGTTTTGTATATAAGTACAAGCTGCGTAAGAATTACAATCCCTTCCATAGTTCCGATACACCCAGGAAAACCCAAAAACAGGAAGTCAGTGCATGAACTCGAAGGTGACGAAAACCCAAACTACTTCCCGGAACTCTTGTCTCTGATTTTTTTATCAATTTTACGATGCATTGCGATATGAAGTAGAAAGCATATTCCGAGTTACCTATACTCTACTGTTAGGGGCAGCTGGGTGACCGAAGAACTATATATATGGATTACATGATAGACTTGGGGAAGTGTGCTACGTTAGCACATTTCAACACGAGGGATCCGATACTGCTATGCTCTGTGTAATCGAGTTCAAGCAAATATACACTGTACAAGCATAGAACGTTATAAACGGAAAATAAAATCTATGTATCTATATTAAGATTTCCTGTTTTTTTCTGTTTGTTTACCGCTCATTTTAACCTCTATAAAACTTACTAAACATACTTAACTACCGTGTTAAAACATCTTGTATCACAAGAACAAAAGTTTTCTGGTCATTTGTTGACAAAGTAAGTTGAATCCACTAGACGCCAGATGGTAATACTGGTATTTTATGTGATATATGTTTATACGACATAAGATTTTAAATTACGATTTAATCCTTGATGCAGTGGGGACATGACACACTCACCATTGTCAACAACCTTTCAATAAAAAGGCAGACTTTAAATGCCAAAACTCGATTTCATTCGTTTTAAATCCATCCAAGCAACAGCATCAATTCAAATTAATTACAGAATCCTATACATCATATATGGAATATCAGAACAGATCATACCAATTATAACAAGATCAATGCCAGTCAACTTGTCTTTACACATGAACAGCACAAAAAACAATCATCTGTTAAGTGGAATATTTGTCAAATGAGAACAGTATTAAAGGCAATTAAGGCATCCAATGCAATTTCAGGACTGCAAAACAGAAATATTCCTATTGCAAGAAAGCTGTCTGATATCGATAACTGCAATTTCTAAGCACATTTCTGGGATTATCTCATACTTATATAAACGTTTGAAATAGCCTCAAAACAAGCCACGTGAGCCTTACCACCCATAAATGTAGCTAGAACCAGCCTTCGATACAAAACAAGCAACCGTCTTCCGTCAGCTACATCGCATGTTTGCCTCACAGATATCAGTATGCTATGGGATAGGGTTGATTCAACTTTAGACACTTAAGAATGAGCAAACAGTTGACTTTCAAAATCCAGTTTTCCCGACCTGAAATTGCGTCGGATGCCTTTACATTTGATCAAAGATATTGGAAGTAAGGCCCTTACAAGAACTATACTTTACTGTACTACTGTAGAACAGTATGATTAGACAAGACTAGGGAAAAGCTCACAACCAGAAAAAAAGCTGCCATCAAAAGTATGAGAGAGGTTCTACATAAGACTGGGCTGGAATATCTTTAGATTTGCTACTAAAGATAAAAAATAAAATAGGAGCAAAAACCAACAAAATCTATATCTCCAACACTTGTTTTCTAGACAGTCTATTTTAGAGTCACAATGATGAGCTTTCAACATTTTGTAAGTGCAAGAAGCTATACATTCAGCTTACAAAATTACAACTGTTATATCATCCATTAACCTTGTATTCTGGCACTTCACTTGCCATATTCAATATTCAGTATGTACAAATTGGTGAGGAACAAGTACTGTATACTGAAGAGCAGTACATGAGCTGACATTTCAAGGCCATATAATTAATTACTAAAGGATTCATCTATTCAATATACAACAGCTACATATAGCTACATCTGTCACTGTAAAATACTGTTAATCACTTTATATTCGCTGTCTAAGAAAAATGTTCGCAGATCTATATTTTCAAGGAGGCAGCAGGTGCAGAAGAAAGAAAGGTACGTGGTAAGTTCACAGTACATATGTGACCGTGAAAAACATGAATTCTAAAAGCACTGCGAATATAAAGTGATTTATAGTACTTAACTGTCATAACTGTTATAGATGTGCATCTGAAGATAAATTTTCAATGGTTGATCTAAATGGAGAGTTTATTTACAACTTGGAAGCAAATACTTGTATTGTTTGGGGTTATTGGTGGAAATTGAATAACAGGCTCTCCCTGTAGTCATAATTCATGAATATCAACATTGTGCTAATGTCACAATTTCCAGCACGGGGCCTGTCTGAAAAAAAAGACAGGAAACACAAAAAAAAGATTTTATATTTTTGTTCTTTCATTTCTTCTTTGACTTTGGAAGACTTTGTTTTAGGCTAGAAATACGATTTTCAGCCTGATGTATTAGGAGTTTACCATCATGGTGATATTTATCAAAGGAGGCCATATATGGTGCACCTAGATTGTTCCTGTTGAGTTCAACTGTTTTGGTTGGGAGCAACAGTGCTACTACACGTAAGTCAAAATGTGAGTCTGGAGCCCTCAACAGGCAGTACAGAAACACACACACAAAAAATAAGACGGGGAAAGTCTGGACAAAATGCACAAACAAGCTACAATTTGCAGACAGGCTGGTACAGGTTGGGACTCCGCGATGTTGGAGGTCACTGAGGCATGCTGACCTCCTGACCTTCGATCTCTTGGATCTGCACTTCGTCGGGCTGCTGGATCTGCTGAAGGATCGAAAAACAACAGAAGGATCAACTCATGGGTTATAGAATGGTTTATGACATGATATAAATGATATCACAAGTCACAGCCTGACTGCTGAATTGATGAAGTGATATTACAGAAATAAGGGTTAAGTGTTGCAGGGCTCGAAATACTGGGTGTATGTGCACCTTAGTGCACCCCAATTTGGAGCTGTGCACCCAATTTTTTTCTGTGGGTGTACCAGTGCACCAAAATATTTTCGCACTAGGTTTACGTATGTCAAGATGTTAGATGTTTAGTAGTAAACATATTCTTAACATCTAAGTGTCAGAAAAAAATCAATCTTGTGCTACATTTGTTCATGACAGTGCAGACTTGTTCATGACAGTGCATTTGTTCATGACAGTGCAGACTTGACACAAATACACCAACTATCAATTACTGTGGCCTAAAACAATACTCCCACCAACCTGTATCTGCCCCTCCTGAATGTGTATTTCTGTAGTCTCCATGCCATGTAGGGCGGTGGGCTGGGAGTCGATGGACATGGCACCTGGCTGCATGGCTACCTGCTGTATCGTCACTTCTTCACCTGGCTGAAGCACCTGGGGGATATAAAGATAGGATGCCCCGTGTTAGTAAGCCACGTAAAAACCTACAGGAAAATGGAACTAGAAAGGTAACATTTGCAAAGCAAATGCATAATGTTTACTTTTGCATATGGTCTGCTCTGTTAATTCTTACTAAAATGGTAACATCCGTGTCCATAATATCACCAGGGTCCATAACATCGCCACCTTGAGAAATAGTGTGCTTAAAGATATTTTTACTGGAACATACCCTGTATATGTACATTTGAGGTGTGCAGGAGTGCATACCAAAAGTATGTTGCAGTAGAAATATCTTAAAGCACACTGTTTCTCAAGGTGGCGATATTATGGACCCTGGTGATATTATGGACACGGATGTTACACATTCATAATATTATGTACAGAGGAGCAGTCTAAATCCCTCTTGCTATAAAATTGCAACATGATGTAACACAACACTAGTAACCATGGTGACAGATGTCTGGTTCAGGTCTTTGACCTTATTTGTTTGAAGAAGAAGAAACAGGGCAAAACAAGAGCAGGTTAAAGAACCCACCGCATTATTGAAAAGAGTTGATCTGAAATACTTACTGCAACCTGTTGTCCATCTGCCGTCTGCGTAATCTGCACATGGTGTACTTGTGTGCCATCTGCAACCTAGATGTAGAAGCAACAACGTTAATATATTATTTAGTGGATGAAATCTCAACACTTCTTCTCGAGTCACGACTGTAGTTGTATGAGTTGGTGTACTTGGTTGTGTAGTACTTACTGTGACATGGTGGCCGTCAGCCTGTGTGATATGGAGGTGGTGTACTTGGTTGCCCTGCGTGACAGCCACAGTGTCTCCCGGCTGGATGGCTGTCCCTTGGATGTGAACCTCCATGTCACCCTGATTGACTGCCAACTGAAGGGATACAACACAGCAGGTTGTTAGCATTTTGTACGCCTTTTAATTCTGCTGAAGCTTCTACTAGCTGTACACAGATTATCTATTAAACTTTCTATTAAATTATCTAGTAAACTATCAACTTCCGACTCTTCAGAATTCACACACACACACACACACACACACACACACACACACACACACACACACACACAAGACACAAACACACACACGTCCATGTTACGAACATATATTAGGTATTATGTTGTACAATAACATTTTTGACCTGTGATAGCTGGTCTGCCTGTGTCTCTGGGTGTACTGTGTGCAGCTCCTGTGCGTACACCGTGTGCATGTTGCTGGGCAGCTTGCGGGCGAACGCCTTCACCGTGAGCGGCTGTCCCCGCTGCCTACGCCGGAAGGACGTCCGACACTTGGAGTCGATGTTCTGTTTGATCCTGTGCCAGTCGGCGTCTGTGATCGCAAACTTGCTGATCAAGTGGCCTGTGGTGAAAAACATGAGTAAAGTAAGGAGAACGTTGCCAACACAAACTACGGTTGAAAATAACACCTGCATACAAATGTATGCAGCAGGGCTCAAAATACTTTTTTCCAGGTTCCATTGAAAATTGCCTGCACCACACAAATTATACATATACCTGCACCACTCAGAATTTATCAATTCTTAAATTTAAAACTAGCTATATATTTCTCACATTTAACACTTCTCAGAAAGCCTGTATTTCTTTTACACTTTACACTTGCGTGTTTGCATCTGCACCAAACCTGCACTGGTCCATGTGCTCGTATATGCAGGTTGGTGCAGGTAAAATTGGAGCTGTGCAGGTGATTCCCGTGTCTACTTGCACCTAACCTGTGCTGGGTTTATGCAATAGGTCTTACTTTAGGTCTACATAATTTGACTCACATCTGATGCCGTATATCATGAGTGGGTCCAGCTGCTTCTTGCCGTGCCTGCCCATGCCTGAGATATTGGACATGGCCTGAGTCTCCCTGTCAAACAGATAGTCCAGCAGGATCAGGGCCATCCGCTCTGCAGTCCGACACGTCTGGTGGATGTGCAGCAGATCTCTGGGGGATAAAAAACAGGAAATATAATCTGTAAATTATTTCATCAGGTAGGTGAATCAGTTGAATAGCAATGTTCTTTATTCCTAACCACTTGTTTAACAACTGGTTGCCACTTGTTAACAAGTGGTTGCAAATAAACAATGCCATTAAGTAAATGTAAATGCTACAAAAAACTAGAAAGGTAACATTTGCAAAGCAAAACGCATAATGTTTACCTTCGCATATGGTCTGCTCTGTTAATTCTTACTCAAACACATTCATATATATGGTCAGATAGGAGTCTAAATCCCTCCTGCTATAAAATTGCAACATGATGTAACCCAAGGCTACCATAAATGGTCATCTACTCACGAGGGTGTGATGGGGCATCTGACTCTCATCTCTATGTTGTTTTCATCGCCCAGCCAGGTTCCCCCTGGGTAGTCATCTGTAGGTGCAAGTAGAAAATGTTAAGTAGTTGAAACAGACAGTTAAGAACAAGATTTAAGTAGCTAGTTTGAAACTATACACATTCAAAACTTAAACACTGTCGATTAAAGCTGTACACGTGACCGCCTCTACGTAAGGACCACCTGGCCACTGATATACATGTACAGTCAAACACTTTTTGGTGATCCCTTAACCAAATGAAACAGTCCAGCATTACTGTAACATAATTTTTTTCGCAATACAGGTGATTGACTTTGTTTAGAACGGAAACAGAAGATGAAACCGAGCAAAAATAATACGTTTTCCTTCTGCAAAGGTAAACATAACAAACCAACCTTCAGAGTTGAGGGTGATAAACTGTACGTTTGGACCAAAGCGCTGTCCCGTGCTCCTGCCCTGTTCATCCTCTACCTCTCCACTTTCGTCCTTCATCTTGGAGTCTGTTACGGCCACGGTCGCCCCGGCTGTGAGACACACATCATCTATAGCCCAGCCCAACATAATCCAGCCCTGGTTCAATATCTGTCTATGTATTACCGGTATACAACACTGACATCTACAAGTCTCCAGGGCCCAAAATACTTTTTTCTGATGTGTAGTGGTGGGTGCTACAGTATAGTTCAGCTGGACAGGGTCCAACTCTAAAAAAATATCCAAGAAACTAGTACAAGATCGATAATGAAAGTCGTACACTGATTCTTTTTTTTTTTTTACTAACAAAGTTTATGATACATATTTCTATTTTATTTATAAATATATTATATAGACATCCTCTTAGGTGATCTTGGCATGAAAAAAAAAGAAACAACAACACAAGGTCAAAGTCTCAAACTACATAATTTCTAAAGAATAGTGTATTGATTTTTTCATACCTATTTCCTCTGTTCCATTTTCTTGGAGTCTTGTTGGAATTGGAGTAGGAACGTCATCTGCAACAATAAACATGAGAAGAAAGGTTACTTTACTCAGGCCTTAACATAAACTTGGGGTCATGGCAAACCTTTATAGTGGGATGAAATCACTGAGATCAACATGTACACTGAGACATCTAAGACACAGGAAGAAAAAAGTTTGTTTCCTGTTTCCTGACCGACACTAGAAAAAACCTGCCCAACCCTTTTTGGGGGGATGACCACTGGCAAGGCCATAAAATTTGCCAATTAAAATCCACAAGGTCTCGGGAGGAGCCCGTGACAGAGTCTGAGAAACTGTGTAATACTGGCAAATCAAAGCCAGAATGTGCTATGTACCTTCATTATCTGTACTGTGGGTAGATAGGCTTTGGTCCTGGCTCTGTGACTGGTTCCCTGAATTTGCCGGGAGTCCGATGACAATGGTACTCTGTCTGCGAGGGGTGTGGTGCCTGGTGGAGAAAATGTAATCGAAGGTATGGTGATGACAACTGTAACTGTTAGTGTTACAGTAACATACACTTGCTACAATAACCACTGAGTAAACATTTAGACCTTGACCTTTGTCTTTAAAAGACCTACCCACATACCAAATGGGAGCACAGACACAAACACAAAAACAGGCATACACTTGAGCTCTTTTCATTTTGTAAGGTCTACAGCTTTCTCAGTTTAAATTCTCTGTTTCTCATGAAAGACGCACACACATACAGAAAGACATACATTTCCTCCATTTTCACAAGTTAAAATTCACAAACTTTCCGTACTGTTTCCGTGAGGTGGTGGGGGTTGTGACAGAAGGCCTGTTTCCCAGCTCCTTCACTGTCTGTACGATCCCGTCAACCTTGTCTTCCAGAACCTTGGTGCGGTTACTCAGCCCTTCCACCTTGTTCTCAATCCCCTCAAGACGCAGGCAGATGGCCTTGTTCATGTTGAACAAGATGGACTACAAAATTCAAGACAAAAAAGAGAATTTTAATGTCTGCATTAAAGATACACAATGTAAAACTAAACAATTCAGTAGTTGCAATACCACTGAGACACTAAGACTAATAAGAGGACATCACAAAACCCACGAAAATAAAACCACCAGGAAAGTAATTATGCATTTTCAGTGTGTTACTGAATGCTGATACAGTTATAGTAGTTTCCGTACTTTGATAGAGCTGGACTCCTCCCTACTGATCTCTGACTGGGTCTCTGGCATGACGATTTCCATCCGCCGCATCCGTTTGGCAGACGGTTCTTCCTCTGTCAGCTCACCTGGATGATATACGGTATGGATAGATATATATACAATTTGTACAAATAGGTGGCGTCGATGGCGCAACGGTTAGAGCGTTGGACTCGGAATCGAGAGGTCCCGGGTTCGATACTCACCGTGGCCCGACGTTGTGCCCTTGGGAAAGGTACTTGACATGACTTCCCCACCTGTACGGTGGAGTGACGCCCACCGAGCCTCTTAGGCTAATCTGTCTGTCAGGGTGCCAAAAACACCTTACGGATTTGGTGCGCCGATGTGACAACATCTCATATTGGCCACTGAGAGCTTAAATTTTTTTTTTGTGCAAATAGGTCCTGGTTTCCCTAGTAGCTTCTGTACTGCAAACTTATCATTAGTACTTACGGTTAACAAATAACTTGCTGACTTTCTTTTTCTGCAGCTGTTGCCACTGTGAATATATAATTCCGCAAACATGTCCATTTTTCTCAGACTGCAAAATTTTGTTACCGCTAATATAAACTGATTTACAGTATATGATTCTCACCTGTAGCAATCTCACTGACAGCCAGCTGCACCACATCTGTCAGCTGTTCACCTGCCATCCTGCCTCCAGACAAGTTTTCAGCTAGTTAACCTCTGTAAATGTGAAGAAGTTTGTTACTGGTTGTTTATAAATTATTCACTGTGTAATGTAGTGTGTATTATTATAGAGATTAACGGGGGGTGCCCTAATTCCGACCCATCCCTAATACCGAACTAGTTTGAAAAATCCTTGTTGCGGCGTTATGCATGGGAGCACGTGCCTAAAAATAATCACAAGAATGGACTATGTTTTTGTGTTGATATCGGCAATCTCACAAAGTTTGTTTTAGTTCCTACACTCCGACAACAGACGAGTGAAAAATCTGTGTGAATTCGACGCTTGTTCGGGGGTTGACGAGCGTGTCAAAAATACAGGTTTTGCTTTTCAAACAGACACTTTGGAGCAAGTCGCGTAATCGTAAAAAGAGGACTTGTTTGGGACAGAAAACATTTGTAGATTGTTTTAGTCATAATTTGTGTATTATTTTTTCTAAACTCTCTTCTCAGATCGACCTGTGTTAAACACTAGGTCGGAATTAGGGCACCCCTGTTGCGATAGAACGTTCCACCGGCAAAATGACCAAAAAACTGCCGTGCGTTTCGTGAACCATTACGGTTGGGTGCAAGCCGCTACAATCAAGTGAAATACACAGCTGTGCAGCTTTAATCGTCGTGATCTTTATCTGTCAATATTATATCTCATGTTGCGCGGGTTTTTGGTCAGATAAACTATTACCAAAGGTCTGTGCGTTTGCATGGAACATAGCACGGAATTAGGGCACCCCCCGTTACTAGTATGTGTCATAGAGAACTTGCTGTGAGGGGATAACAATCCCTACTGCTGTGGTATAATTTCCTTGGGAGCATGTTACTGTAACTCGCCCTGTCAAGTCTGGCATCCAGGCTACACTTTTCTATACTCTAACTGTTGGGAATGTGATGAACATGGCATGGCCGTGCATATTACAGTATTAAACAGGGCTGGAAATCCCACCTGCAGCTTCATGTAAGTAAAAATATATATATACATGTATGTAACTACATGTCGTTGGTGTATGTGGATTTTTATTTGTTCATAATTTAACTGTTACCACCTATGAAATACAAAAGAGATGATGGCCATGTACACATTTCGAGCCCTGTTATTGTGTTGTGTTATATTGAGTTGTGCATGGTGGATGCCACAATAAAATTGTAGTTCCACATAATTTATAGAGATATGTATTGTATTGATGTATAGATAGGCAGAGGGCACAGATTTCAAGCGGGCCAGCAGGACCTCGGCTTCAAAAAATTTTCCGGGGCACCCCGATCATAGTGACTCTGACCAGGTTCTAACCCTTGGACCGGGGCTTGTCGCTTCCCCCAGCCGAAGGGAGCATGTGTCGATCTGGGGTCTGGCATCCAGGCTAACAGCGGGTTACTCCATGCGTGATGCGTGGGGGCAAAAACTATCTAATGCAATGTGCAACCTAGGGCCTTGGGGGAAGCCCGACGTTCAAGGTCGGTTCACACACCGTCAGGCTCCTCCCCTGATCGTCTTCTGGTCGCGCCCGCTGGACTACAGATATTTCACGTCAAATCCGCCATAATAGCGCGCCAATCTCCCAACGGAAAAACCGACCCCCAAAAAATAACACCGCCTCCGTCCTCCGCGACTGCCATCTGTTCGAACTGTTGGGACAACAGGTTCGACAAGGTGCTCCCCAACCTACTCCAGATTCATAAGGCGCGGGGTTTGGAGGCAGTCCCGCCAAATCCCGCACAGACTTACCGCTTTTTCTCGCCCTGCACGATAATGGCGTCCGTCTTCCTTCTCGCGAGACCTCTAAAAATAACGTCACAACGCATCAGTAAAACATCCCCTGATTGGTGTAAATATCACCTACTCTTGCACTTTGACCAATGAGAGGCCTGATTACATACGCAGGGCAATGAGGTGCTGTAACCATATATGGGTAAGAATGCGTAACTACGTCACATGTGTTTACGTCATGATGTCGTCATGGATAAGTGTGTAAGTCAGAGCGCACTGACCTGGAGGTTCAGAGCAAGGAGAAAGAGCGGGGCACACTGCACTGTCGCCGGCGATTTTGGTCAGAACGGTCGCAGAAATCATTCCTCGTGTAGGTGAACAGAGTTTTACGAGTCTAGTGAAGAAGGAGGATGAAGATCTGGACGTCAGAGCACACGTTTAGGTGAGAAAGTAGTGTAAAATTCCTGTGTCTTGTTCGAGAACACTTTTACCGGCGTCTGACGGTGACGTCGCACGGTGACCGCCAAGACCAAGCCATGCAATCCTTTGTTTTAACATAAAAACTAGACAAATCAAGTCTGTAAAGTCATCTACGTAGCGTGTTACACAATCACACAACTGTAGATTGCTTTCTAAACAAGATCCTGTCAGTTTTTAGGTGGTATTACGCAAGATGCCGGTAGCACGTTGTAGACTCTTGTGCAGTAGGTAGGAAGTAGGTCACATTTGCATGGGGGAGGGGGGCGTTTGTCCCTTACGTAAAGCAATTATTCTGAAACCTATAAAGTATACAGTGCTAGAAACATCGCTGTATTTCATATGGGCTGTCCTAGATTCCTAATGACATGTGATGACTTGACGGAAGAAGAAACGACATAAAAGTTTATCAGGTGATTTTGGGTGACCCCGAATTTGGCACCGGGAAAGACATCTCTTGCGTCATCACGCCCCTCCGGAACTTAGTCACATGTCGGTTCTGAGAATAGCTCTAAATGCTAAGAATACTCAAGACATGGTTGGTTTTAGACAATGTAGAGTCATGTGCTGTTTTGCTGCATTTCTTTGTGTGAAATCTCAGATTTAAAAGGTGTTAATTGATTGTTGACATAGCAAATCCTGTCAGAAACCATTCTGAAGTAATCAAATTACACAAAACCATTGTCAAGCCCTTGTATTTAAGAAGAGAAAAAAAAACAACCTTTTAGGTGAAATGATCAGAGTAGTGGACACCACACAAAAGTGTAGAAAAGGGAGGGGAGAAGTCTATAAACTTCAACCATCCTGAAACAATACATTACATCACGTTGATACCTCAGTTTTTATGACAGTAAATTGTTGTAAATCAAAGTGATACTATAACATTTATTGTCAGGCACTCAAACTATGATGTTTGAAGCAAAATTTGGAGAGGTAGAAAGATTTCTATGGGCGTCACAAGCTTGCCGGTGCACCGGCTTGGTCTCTTAGCTTTAATGCTACCTTACACCCTTCAGTCACCTCCACCTTTTATTCTGATGTTATAAATAGCCATCGCATTGTTTACACAAGTAAAAAAAAAAGAGAGAGGCTGCATTCAACTCATGCGGTTTACATTACCACTTTACCAGGGTAACAATGGCACTAGTACCAGCTGTGTAGGGTGCCGGGTGCACATTGTAAATCAGTGTTAACCTTTAGCATGGTGCAGACACCATTTGGCTGCCTGACTGTATTGGTTACAGAGTTAGAAAGCAGGGAGAAGGTTAAAAGATTCAACCAGACTTTTGTTAGTTTTCTATACTTAGATTCTTGTACATGTACTTGTGAAGAAACCCCTTACATACATTCATCTATATTGTAGTATTTGTACATACTCCCAGATCACCAGATAATTCCGCTAACTTTAAAGCCAGATGCGAGCGCCATATTTTGCCTGTTGTCCAGTACAGTTGAGAGAATATGGCGACCAAGCTGAAGTTACCCAGTGAAGTTACCCTAGGGAATTAAAGATGGCGGCCCTGAGCTAGGTGTGTGATTGTGTGCTCCAAACAATTTCGACTTTCCACGCGTATTTGACCCACGTAGAGCTCGAACTGGTCTCTGCCTGTTGTGGGCCGAACTCTTATCGAGATTTTTTGGATGGGTAAGAGAACTAGGCGCTCGAGGGGTTCTAGTAGCGCAGATGAAAGTAGCACATCTCTAAAAAGCAGCCCCCCACCCAAGACACTAAAGATGGCGTCGACTAAGGGTAGCGAGGGAAGTTTGCAGTCTCTGTCACCGGAATTACAGACGCTCGCGCAGCTAATCCTGAAACAGACTCAAGAGCAACAGGAGACCCTTCTAGGTCAGTTTCAAGACGTCGGGGAAAAACTCTCGAACCAAATTCGCGCTCTGGACAACAAAGTCGAAGGGCTGTCTGCAGACTTAACCAAGTTACGCGTGCGTGTGGGAGCCACCGAGAAGGCCGCGGAATTCCAAACAGCGGAAATTCAGGATTTACGCAGTGCTTTGGTCGAGGAACGCCGCGAAAGACTGAAAGCAGACCTACTGGCCGAGCGGTACTCTAGGAAAGCGGATATAATCATTCGGGGTCTGCCATATAGCCAAGACGAAAACTCGGAGCAGATATTTGCGGGATTCCTGACCGAAAAGCTTCACCTGGATCCGGTACCGTTTGCAGCTGTTCACCGACTCTCGAAGTCAACAAAAACACGACCAAACCCAGCCCTGCTTGCCAGACTCCTAAACTTTAATGATCGAGACCGTATCCTACGGGAGGGAAGGAAGCTACGTGGAAACAAAGATGGCTTAGCGGTTTATGAGCATCTTCCACTGCCTCTGCAAGCTGCGAGAGCCAACTTAGTTCCAGATCGAGAAGCTGCGCTAGAGAAAGTTAAAGGTACGGATACTAGAGTGTCGATATGGGTGCCTCCAAAGGCTACGTACGCTGTGCTACTTGTGAATGGGCAGGAAAAGAAGCGTGTTGACGCTGTAGATCTAATGTTGTCAACAAAGAAGAGATCACTGCCGAACACATGAGAGCTAATCTGTTGTATTTTTAAGAGACTGAAGTTATTAAACACGCACTACTTTCTCTTTGAGACTTTGGTGCTTCTTTGCTGTGTAATCAATGAATCCATAATGTGACAGAACTGAATGAATGCTTTATTTTCTTGGTGCAAGCTACAAGACGTGGCAAATATGCGGCTGGTTTGAATTCTTGAATTTTTGAAATGTTAATCAGGTGAAAACAGGCATTCATGGAAACACCTGTTACGCGATGCTGCTTCTTAGCTTCTGATTGGCCTCAAACCCAGCCATTGCATGTTTGTCACAGCCGTATACAGTAAAATTTGATTAGTTGTACGTGTGTTATGTTCACATTGTTTCTTTTTTATATGTACCTTGAGTTTGCACCAAACTTGTGATTATGTTATGCTACTTGAGTTCATTTAAGTTGAAATGTTCTTTTTTGTGGAATGATTAGTTTGATACTGATGATGGATGGAGCACATGAGAATAAGTAAGGGCCTCTCATTTATAAGAACTTATAAGAGCTTAGACCTTTGTTTACGTTAAGTTATTTTGTACTTTACTTTGGCTTTAAGCAAGAAATGTTCTGTTATCTATCTTTTGTTTTCTATTCATGGCTCGAAGTATCTCGTCATTTCATGTTCTAAGCTTGATGTTTATCTTTATGTGTATGGCATGATGTTTTTCGTATCGTTAAGTTCTAAGCTGGATATGATTATTTGGATATTCTCTTTGTTGTTATTAATCATGAGGAACCCTTATTATGTTATTACTAATATGAACCACTATTCCTTTATTGTCTATATTACTTTCTGCGGTCGTCTTCCCCTATTTGAAATCTTTAGAAACCCCTTTTCTTCCCTTGGCATTTATGACATCACCAAAAGTTAATATTTGTAGCTTTAATTGTAACGGGTTGGGCGACCGCAGAAAACGAAACGAAATATTTACATGGCTAAAGGACAAATCATATAACATTTTTGTTTACAAGAAACCCACTCTACGGTGAAACAAGAAGAGCTCTGGCAATCAGAATGGGGGGTCCTGTTTTATATAATCACGGTCTTAGTAACAGTAAAGGAGTTTTAATATTATTTAAGAATAATTTTTCATACACCATCCATCAGACCCTGAGCGATAACTCAGGGCGGTGGTTGGTTTTAGATATCACCATAGATTCTATACGCTTTTGTTTGGCCAATATTTACGCCCCCAACACCGATGACCCAGACTTCTTCTTTAACCTTGAGACGACCATACAAAACTATATAGCATCTGATTTACATACTATTATTGTTGGGGATTTTAATACTGTGCTGAACATCGATATAGACAGGGCTGGGAATCAAGCATCTAATTATCACCCAAACTGTTTAAGAGCTATTAATTCCTTATGTGCCAACTTAGATTTACTTGATATTTACAGATATAAGAACCCCAAAACAATACGTTATACATGGAGACGCAAACGCCAGGCTAGCCGAATAGATTATTTTTTGACATCCTTTTCCTTAACCTCTGCTATAGAGAAAGTTGTTATAGAAAGTAGCTTGAGATCAGATCACTCCCTTATTGGATTAACAGTTACTACCTCCATAATACCGCGAGGCCGTGGATTTTGGAGGTTAGACCAAGATTTGTTAAGTGATCGGACATTTGTAAAAGAGACCTTGGAGTTTATTACTAATTTCTTTCAATTTAATGTTGATTCAGCTAATCCACATATTGTGTGGGAGGCCTTTAAATGCTCAGTTCGAGGCCATATAATCAAATTTGTATCATGGAAAGCCAAACAAGTTAAAGATAATGAACTCTCTCTTTCATGTGAGATCGACAGACTGCAAAAACAGCTTGATATTTTTTTGATATGGACACTTTCCATACGTTACAAAATAAGAAACTGCAGCTAGAATTGCTTTACCAAACCAAATGTAGTAATATGATTAGTGGAAGGAGAGCCAAGTGGATGGAGCAGGGTGAAAAATGTACAAAACTTTTTTTAAATCTTATAAATAGAGGAGCAGCAAGGAAAAACATGACTAAATTTGTTACACCTGAGGGATCAGTCAAAACTGACCCCCAGGAAATTCTTATTGAACAAGTCAAATTCTTTTCCAATCTCTATTCCTTCAAAGAACCGCCTATCTCTTTGGAGAGTGATATTTTTGAGCCCTTTTTCCCTAAAGTTCCCCATGTTTCACTGTCCGCTGATCAACGGGACTTCTGTGAAGGTCTTATTACCGAAAAGGAGCTGAAAGTTGCTATTGACTCATTTTCATCGGGGAGAGCGCCTGGCTTAGATGGTCTTCCAGTAGATTTTTACAAGAATTTCTTTAATTACATAAAAAGCCTATGCTTGATTCCTTTAACTATTCGTACCGAATGGGTCACTTATCCGATACACAAAAAACTGGCCTTATTTCCCTGATACTAAAGCAAGACTCCACGGGACAAGATAAAGACCCTTCTCAGATTAAAAATTGGCGGCCCTTAACACTATTAAATTGTGACGTCCGTATATTGTCTAAATGCATAGCCCTGCGTATAGAAAAAATAATTCCAAATCTAATATCTTATGATCAAACAGGTTTCCTAGCAGGGCGGTGCATTAGTGATAATATACGCAGAATCTTAGAAATAATAGAATATTATGAATGTAACGAACTACCTGGATTAATTTTTGTGGCAGATTTTGAAAAAGCATTTGACACCATCAGACTTGATTTTATTATTAAAACACTCGAATATTTTGGTTTTGGTGGGGGTTTTCTAAATTGGATAAGAGTTTTATACAAAGATATCTGTAGTAAAGTAATTAATTATGGACACATCTCCCACTCCTTTTCCCTGTCCCGTGGAGTCCGTCAGGGATGTCCTCTTTCGCCATACTTGTTTATATTAGGGGTTGAAATGTTAGCTATGAAGATAAGAAACAATATGGAAATAAAAGGATTAAGTACTTATGGGATAGAAACAAAAATTTCTCAATATGCTGACGACTCTAACTTTCCTTTAGCTCCGAAACTTAGTACTCTTTACGCTTTAGTTAAAGATTTGGAAGATTTTGCATTGTTATCAGGGTTAACACCTAATTTTGACAAATGTGTAATAAGACGCATTGGTTCTTTAAAGGGCACTGACTTTTATTTACCTTGTCCCTTACCGATTCAATGGACAGATGGACCGATAGATCTCTTGGGAATTCATATTCCGCAGCAAATATCAGATTTGATAAATGTAAATTTTGATAGGAAATTCGCAAAGATAGATAAATTATTATATCCTTGGAAGACAAAGTCATTAACTCTTATGGGTAAAGTTACTCTTATCAATACACTTATAGTATCACAATTTGTATTTTTACTTACCTCTCTTCCGTCCCCTCCCTCTGAGTTTTTTGATAAATATGAGAAGAAAATTTTTCAATTTCTATGGGGGGGTGGGCCTGAGCGAGTTAAGAGAAAAACTATATATAGTGCTTACGAATATGGAGGACTTAAACTTAGGAATTTGCGATCTGTCGACCTCACCCTTAAGGCCTCTTGGATGCCTAAATTATATATGAACAAAGAATGGTTTTGCTCTAAGCTGTTATTTTTTTCTTGTCCAATATTCAGAACAAACTTATTCCCCTTTGTACAACTTGCTGTCAATGATTTTGATTGTTTTATGGGAAAGAAAGCACCAATAAGTTCTTTTTTTAGACAAATTATCCAAGCTTGGCTACGCTTTCAACTCAGACCACCTGAGAAAGTGGACGAAATCAAGCAACAATTACTTTGTTTGAACTCAAATATACGTATCGGTGATAAACCTTTCTTTTCGATAGCATTTGACAATGGGGGAGTTCGTTTTCTTAATGACATCTTGGATTCAGAAAACAGATTTTTTTCTTACGAGACTTTTATAACAATGTTTGGGGATGTCTGCCCGGAATTCCAGTATAATCAATTAGTTTCTGCGATCCCATTACATTGGAAAGTGGCCCTTAGACAGGAATCTATTGCTATACAGGTGTGTGTGCCGATTTGTAGAGATAGGACCTGGCTTTGGAAAAAAATATTAATAAATATTTGTATACTTTTTTCATGGAAGAGTCCAAGCTAAGGGAACTGTCTTATAAAACACAACACTCCTGGGAGGAATATTTTAACACACCCATCCCCTGGAAACAGGTTTACAGCTTAATTTATAAACTTTCTATAGACACCCATACCAAAACTGTTTCAATATAAGATACTCTTTAAATTTTTGACATCAAATAGAACACTATATACATGGAAATTAGTAGACTCCCCTATGTGTTATCTCTGTAATGAAGAGGAAGAGTCAGTCATTCATTTGTTTGGAATTGTCGTGTAGTTATTAATTTCTGGTCTGAGGTGAATGACTGGCTTGTCAAACATACCAATAATCATTTACATTTGAATGCTTTTAATGTTATATTTGGTGACTTGAGCGATCGATGCCCAACCCTGTCTAATCTCATTATCCTTTTAGGTAAACATTACATATTTAAATATCGCCAGAAAAGGTTAGACTTACAAGGTTTCATTTCTTACATTTCTTACTTTCAAAAATTGGAATACATAATTGCAAAAAGACAAGATAAGATTCAGAAACATATTGGGAAGTGGGGTAAACTTTATAGTGTCCTTTCAGCTTAGTTTCTTTAATAGTTTGTGATTTCTAGGGTTCCTCATCACTTATATTATGTTCTTTTAATGATCATACACCATTGTCTCCTGATTTTGTGTTTTACTTTTGTGGTTTACACATGTGTTTCTTTATTTTGTATACATGCCATACTTTCTGTCCAATATATATGTGAAAATATCAATAAAAAGAAAGAGTTTAAAAAAAAAAAAAAAAAAAAAAAAAAACCAGATCTGGGTGTTGCATCACTCCTCACTATCGTGATGTAGATATGTACATTGTACAAGTACGTGTAAGGCCACAAAGGTCAACACTTAATTGGAGCATGCCTCTTATATAAGTCAGAACCCCCACGTGTTGTGCAAATATGTACTTTGACCAATTTAACTAAAGAAAAGTAAAAGCAGGGCTCGAAGTATCTTTTTTTCCACACCTGTGCTGATAGCGTTGGAAACCATTGGAATCATTCCACAGGTGGTAAACTAACAAACCACTTGTACAGCAATCAAACCAACAACCACTTGAATACTACTCATGCTACCAGGTACTACTGGTAGACATCAGAAATACCTGCACAGCACCAATTTTACCTGCACTAACCTGTATAGATATGCAGGTGTCATTTCGAGCCCTGGACTGTGATTGAGATGCATGATTGTTTGATCACTGATTGTTCCTGCTCCCTTCAGGCATCCGTGGGACACGGTTGCGCAGGCAGCGTGGAGGAAGTACCCAAACCCGATGAACCCGAGTGTTGTTGGTGTGGACGTGTTGGACAGGAGAGTGGACAGAGAAGGGAAGCTGCACTCACACAGGCTTCTCAGCACGGAGTGGGGACTAGGATCCTTCATCAAAAAGGTGGGTTGAGTTTATTTGGATCCACACTTAGCATACATATATACAGTAGCTATTCAGTCTTAACCTCTGTAATATGGAGGATTTCTGCATGTTTTTCTGTTTGCTTGCTTGTAATGTGAACTGACAGGGGATAGTGTGACCATAAAAATACAGGAAGATCAAACTGGAGGTAAAAAAAAATGCTGCAATGTATTACAAAAACAAGCAGTAAAACTCCTACGTGGCCATATACAAATGTATTCCACTCAATAGATAGTTGTACATTTACAAATTTACATGTATTTCTTTGGTATCCATTGTTGTATGTGTACTTTAAATGATGCATTTCTGTTTTCCTTTCCCCAGTTTTTACCAATCCAGATGTTGGGAGGAGACACGTGCTATGTCAGTGAGCACTCTGTGGTAGACCCAGAAAAGAAGACCATGGTTCTGCAGTCAACTAATGTAAGTTTCTTTCAATCAAGAATTATAATTCTGTTCATTTACTATGTTTGCATGACTCTTAGGCATTTGTAATTGTAGGCTTTCTGTAACTTTAAATATTCCTAGAACTACTTTTGTTGTGGGGAAATACTGGATGCATTTATGCATTATACTTTTTGCTCCCAAAATTGGATCTGTACACTTAAACCTTTTTTCTGTGCATCTTTTCCTGAATTTCAAGCTCGGAAGTGGGTACTAACTGTTACTGTGTTGCAGTACTGGGTACTCATGATATCAATGTTTCTTCCATTTTGCAGTTGACATTTTCAAACTATGTGTCAGTAGACGAGAGATTAACCTACGAGCCTCATCCTACAGAAAAAGACTCGTAAGTACCTCATGTTGTCCTATAGAAAACAGTCTCCTATCCTAAACGACAGTTAAACCTGTGGTTTGACCAATGAGAGGGCAGCTATGTGTCTTGGCAAATATGCATTTTTAGATTTTCATTCTGCATGTCTGTGTTTTGACGGAGGGCTATATGATCGGGCTATTTGTACATTTTAAGGTTTGCTTTCAATGCACTAAGCAAAAACTGTCTCTATGATTGACTATACATGTATATCAATATGCATAGCCAAGGTGTCTTGATTCTGAACTAATATCTGTGTCCTGTTTTGTGTCCACAGTACACTGTTAACTCAGGAAGCAATCATCACTGTGAAGGGTGTCAGCCTCAGTAGCTACCTGGAGGGTATCATGGCCAACTCTATCTCAGGGAACGCAAACAAGGTAAGACCATGACATGAAATGTGTATAGGTTTGTATCAGTTACCTGGTACTGTAGTTTCCAGCTGCAGTACTGGCTGGTTCTACTAGGTGGCACTGCAGTACTGTAGGAATGATGTAGTCCCAAATGTGACCAACCTGAGGATGTCAATCAATCAACCAATCAAAACTGGTTCATTGGTAAAAAAAAAGGTGTTGCAGCTCAAGTCAATCCACAAATTGCACTGTAGATATCATTCTATAATTTTGTTAACTGTAATAGTCATTTACCAGTGATGTCAGATTTTATTGAGAAAGTGCTATCAGCACCATGGCCAGGCATTGATGTTGTTCTCTCTTTCGTTTGTATTTTTTAGGGCCGCCAAGCCATAGAATGGGTCATCGGCAAGATCAACAGTGAGGTTTCGGAGCTGGCAGAAACGGCAAAGTCTGGTATGAAGGACATCACAGACAAAGTGGAGAAGATCACACATGTCTCCAACAAGGCAAACACAGACTCTATATGACACTCTTGGACTTAAAGAAGTGCCCAGATGATTTATATGAATCCTCGGTTGCTGTTTTTTTTTTTAGATATTCCATACAGAAGTCATGATGTTTTGTGTCAAATCATCATTGTGTATACTATAAAGATTGTATTTGAATATATCTTTATTTTTAAAGGTATTGACAACTACATGCGAACACTGCATGTAGTAGTGTTGAAGAGAAGAGTATTTAAAGAGTTGCACAGGGGGTATTATTATGGGGTCTTGAGTTTGGTGGACATTGACTCTTGTGTATGTACATTGTCCTTATAAGTTATACCATTGCATACTGTGATTCACAATTTTTTCGTGGTACATGTACTTTTATGTTTGCGGTTCTACCCCAAACTTATCATTACCGTGAACAAATTATTCGCTTTCTTTTTTCTGCACCTACCACCACTGTGAGCAAAAAGTTCCACAAACATTTTTCTCAGACCACAAACTTTTGTTACCGCCGACATAAAGTGAATTACAGTAATGTTATGCATCCTACAAGTACTACCGGTATTTAAAGACGGGTTTGTACATTCAGGTTTCATCTCTGGCCTTCAGAAAAGCACAAACGTGTGCCCCCCCATACCTGTATTGATTGAAATTTCAAGAGGATAGCTATGATAAGTTTTAAAATATGTCAAAAAAAGGTTGCTAATGTTTGATTTCACAGAAGATCAGACAAATGTAACAGATGAGTATGTAGCAGTTAAGGGAAGAAAGCCTTTGAAAGGCATTTTGTTTAGGTAATACATGTACATCCTTGTACACTCAGATACTAGTTTACATATGTACAGATTTGTACTTTTTGTGTTTTATTTAAAAGAAATTATGACAAGTACAAGGAAAAAATTACTTCTTTGGAGAGGTAATTGCTTCTCAGGCCTATTTAATAAATGAAAACAATTGAAGAAAATTGATGACTTTAAGACTCTTGATTTCTAAGGCTTGGTTTGTAAGAACTTGGTTTGTAAGTACTACTAGTATACCAAAACCCATTTTAGGGCAGTAAAACTTGATTTTCAAAGTCAACTCTGGTAATTTTTAAAATGTAGTACATGTAACTTGAAGCAATCCTAAACCATAGCATACATGAATGTGAGACAAGAGTGGTTGCTTGTATCGTAGGCTGGACTGCTAGAGGCTACGGGACTGAGTGAGAGTGTGTGAAGTACCTCTTGGTCTCACATCTTACATTTTGTCTAATGCATGGTACAGAGAATACAGGCTTTGCCAAACAGGTGGATAGCAGTTTAGGATCAATCTGCTAGGGGGCGTTTTTGCATTGGACAGGATTCTTGAATGCTGAGCTCAGCACACAGACCACACATACAGTCCAATTGCTAATTGAGGAACAAGTGTTAGGACCTTGCACTTCTTTACTGTAATATTTCCACAACAGAACACATAAAATATAACGTGATGTGAGGAACAGGACTTTGGTTTATTGTTTGTGGTAAAAAAAATGAAGTTAAAGAACAGGACAACAAGCCATATGGCAAAGGTGTCCTAGATAATTTATGAGATTTATAATTAAAATACGTCTACATAGCATGTTTTTAAACACTGACCATATTCCCCTCTTATTTTCGCACAAAATCATTTTTTGAAATCACATTGAGTACTTTGGCACCTGTGTTTCCACTATCATTTCTGATTATAAATATTCTTTTAGTGCATTTGAACACATTATGTACAGAACATAACAAATACATTGGCAGGCAATATGAATTAGATTCAAATCACTATACAAAGTGCTTTTGCTACTAACAGCAAAACATAATATGTGTATCTTGCAACTTTTTAAGTTATAGCAACGTCATCTTACATTTAATTCATATACAGTACTATACAACAAAGAAATGAGATATTTTGACAGATAAAAGTACATACAGTATTCTAGTCTAGTCAAAGTTGTTCTGGTGAGACTATCTATGGCATTTAAGTTGAACTAGCAAGGTCTGTATTATGAAGTATTTGATGATTTTTGAAACATCTACATTTGTAAGTCCCTATGCCAAATTTGCAATTCTGAATATTGCTGTATACACTTTTAATGTAGTGCAACTTTCCATTGGGAAAATATGATAAAGTTGCTGTTGTTTTTTTCTGCTCTAGAAACAGAGGCTGTTCTGAGGAAGTTGAGTGAACTGAAAAGCAATCCTTGTTCATGATTGAAATGCTTGAATATGAATATTGTTCAACATAAATTCATTATCTGTGATGAAGTTATAGTAGTAAGTTGTACCGGTACATGTGATGTGTTAGCCTTAAACACATGCAGTCCTTCATTTGCAACTTATTTCTATGAGTAAAACATTCACTCTGTGGTAAAATTGATACAACATAAATTACCATTTCAAAAATAATAAAACAATATCGACAGAGCTGTCACTGGACCAGCAAACAACAAATATTTAGATTTTGGGTTCAAGTGTACATGTTCTAACTATTATTCACACTCATGATCAGCTTGGCTTTGTCTGGGTCTGCATTAACTTTATCACATAATACAAATTTTGACACGTTAGATTGACACTAGATACAGCCATACAAACAGTGGTTCTTGTCGTGATTTTTACATACTAGTATTATGTTTCATTGGTCCCACAATACCTGCAGTCAGTCCTGTGTCTACTTGACTATGTTTTCACCGGCGTGAGAGGCACAGTAGAATTTTTTGTGTGCGATGAAAGTGGAGAGGTTGGTGAAACTGATATCGCAGGAACGACAGTACTTTGTGCACACGGGTCCCCTTCTGAGGGCTGCAGAACTGTGCCGAATCACGTTAGTCTTACCTATCATGCTACTGAGGTGATACTGGGCAGGTCCAGGGCTAGCTTGGGGGTGGACTTTCTCCGTGGACTTGCCTGGACTGTCGCTGGGAGCTGTTGATCTGTCGGGTAGGTCCACGTTGCTAGTACTGCATGAAGCGGAGGTCTCTGGGTAGCCCGGATCATATGGCTCCTGTTTCACTATTGTCTGAACTGCTTCTTCTGGTTTCTTTGGAGAGGTATTTGTAGGGCTGGGCCCCTTGTACTGAGTGCTGTTGTGTATATCTATATGTTCGTCGGGGGAGGAGCTGCTGTTGCTGCGAGTGTCGTCCCGTTTGGTCTGGCGGACGTCGGCTGTATCCGGCTCGTCTTCCGGTTTGGCGTGCTGGTCCTTCCAGTGTTCCATCAGCGCGGACATGTCGGCCACGGTGAAGGCGCAGAGCGAGCACCTGAACAGCTGGCTCTCGCAGTGACCCTTCACGTGCACCATCAGGGCGCTACACGTCCGGGCGGAGAACTGGCAGTACGGGCACTGGAACGGCGCACAGTCGTGGGACTCCAGCTCCTCCAGCGTGCGGAAGGACTGACGACAGAAGCACATGAACGGCGGCTGCTGGTTGGGCCCTGCTGCGTTGGGGCTGCCAGGCGAAGAAGCGGTGGCTGCAGCACCCGTCTGCAATGGAGAACTCCTTCTTCCCTCCCCCAGTCCTGCCTGATGAGACATAGGGTCTGGAGTACCACTATCTGCTGCAGTCTGACCCACTACAGTCGTCGCCTGACAGTAGTACGTCTTGTGAGCGATGTAGTTCTCGTGCTTGTTGTATTGAATGTTACAAGCACTGCAGTGAAAAACGTTGGGCATTTCCAACTTATCCGACAAGGGTTCGGCTTTATCCTTTCTACAACGAAGGTCGATTGGCTCACTGGAACTTTCTCCATTCACTCGTACCTCCTTTGACGAGCTGGCAACATTTTGATCCTCTGGGGTTGAAACAGCTTCTCTACTATCATTCTCTACTATAGTTTCACTACTACTTCTTTTTACCACTAGATTTAACACATTTTCCTGATTGTTATCTGGAGGGTTTGGTTGACTTGGGCTTTGCGTTTCTGAAGTTGGGACGGAATCTTTGGTGGCAGATTGTGGGCTTGTTTGTGGACTGGCCACAGGTGTTGGTTTGTTGTCTGTGTCTACTGTGCTGGTGTCAGGCTCCTCTTGCTGTGTCTCTGTCTGGACAGCAACTGAGGCAGCATTATTGCTGTTTGGCACACCACAGTAAGCCATGGCTGTGTTTGGTACAGCCCTGACCACCCCTGGTCCTCGTATTAGTCTTTCGTCTGTGGACAACCGAACGATGGTACAGTTGGCGGGTTGGACACACTCCTGCCTCTTCTCGACCCCTGCTCTCCTGCTGGCACAGTAGTACTGCTTGTGCACTGCAAAGTTCTCGTACTTGTTAAACGATATCTCGCACTCTATGCAATAGTGACAGCTGGGAGGAGGAGGTTCGGCCTCGTCAGATTTCAGTGTCGGTTCAACCGCCGACGGGGAGACCACGTCTCTTCTCAGTGCTGGGAGGTTCAGCAAACCGCCTGCAGCGATGGTTGGTACCGGTATGGCGCTCGTAGCTGGGGCTCGGGAGGGTAGGGGAGAGCTGTAGTCCTGTTGCGCGCTGCCGTAGAGCGGAGACTCCGTCATGAAGGGCGGCGCGCTGCCCCTGCCATACTTGCTGAGGTGCCGCGTCGAGCAGTAGTACTTCTTGTGAACAAAGTAGTTGTTGATGGAGGTGAATTTGATGCTACAGTCTAAGCAGTACGTACCTTCAGGGTGGTCCGCACCACCCTTGTTCAGAGTTTGGGACGGGGAGAGGGAACTCTGGGGAAGACTTGCTTGCTTGTCGGATGGCGTTACGATGGTGTTAGGGGTAGCGCCCGGGTCAGCGTGCATTTTAAGGTGCCTGTTCACACTTGCTGCAGAATTGGCTACATATTGGCACAGAGGACACCTATACACAAGGGCTACTCCCGCTTGCGGGCTCAGTGGCATTTTATCTCGTCTTCTTGGACTGTTTGTTTTGACGACCAGCTGTTCGGGGCAGGGCTCCTCGAGTCCTGGCTCTTTCTTTATGGCAGTTTTCAGCACCTGGTCTTTCATGACGTTGGGAGATGATCCGTGCTCGGACCTTGCGCTTGTCGGTCTTGAGAGGGAGCGCGGCGTGCCTTCGTCGCTGGACACCGGGGACTGGGTGTGGAATTGCCTGTGCCACAGCAGCTCTGCAGGCCCACTCAGAGTGACCTGGCATCGACTGCACTCCACCGTGGCCTGCCCGATGTGGCTGGTCATGTGCTGGGTCAGGCTGTCCTGATCTTGTGCCACGTGCCAGCACACCTTGCACACAAACGCCCCCTCTTTAGGGCCGTCGACGGGCGGCGGAGGCCGTGGACTTAGCTCGGCTGGCGACAGCAGCTCAGGACTCGTCTTCGCATCGCCTTGCACACTGCTGCAGGAATGTTCGAGTTCTAGATGCTGCTGAAGCTGAACTTTATTGAGAAACGCAGCCATGCAGAGTGGGCAGGTGAAGGTGTGGGTGAGCATGTGAACTTGTAGGAGCCCGGCGTTGGAGAAGGTTTTGTGGCAGACTGGACACTGAGCCACTGTGGCCAGTACGGATGGCAGGACCCTGCTACGCATGGGGGGCTGGTGTCGCTGAGTGCCGGGGCAGTAGTACGTCTTGTGAGCCTTTAGGTTGTCCATGTTGCGGTAGACTATCCCACAGTCTTCACAGTCATACACACCCACCTTGCCTTCATTCGACATTTTCCCTGGAAGAGGAGATAAAACATTATGGACAAAAAAATAGAGATTTCAAACGTCTGTAAAATAATCTTTTGTGAATTCTTATTTTATCCCTTATTGTCAACTTCTCTACATCTAATGCATTTACCTCCTGGCACCCAGTTAACAGACTGGGAGCCTTTTTCACCAGAACAGCACAGAGCACACTTACATTGTAAATGTATATCCCAAAGGTCAAAACTTGAAAGACATGTGTGATTTGTAGACTTTATCTTTAAACTGTGTTAAAAATCTGGCCTAATAGTTCACCTGTACATGTAAGACACACCTTGTATTTATTACATACCACAAGTTCAAAACATAATAAAGTATGTAATATACTGTTTATACAACAAGCTCAAAACACTTATCATTAGGACGCAGTAAGACTGACTTATTTTACATTTCACTAGATGGTTTCAACCAAACACAAATCCCATAATGACATTAGTCAGATCTCTATCAACGAAAGTACAACATGTAAAGGTTAAAGTACAAAGATTATCAACAATACCCTCAGGGGCCCCAAAAAGGTGCTATGTACAGCTAAGGCAGAAATCTTGCTGGCTTTCAAGACAGATCTAGAGAAGACTAAGTGTACATGTATGTGTGTGTACATGTGTGTGTGTGTACATGTGTGTGTGTAAGTGCGTGTGCGCACAATCTGACTATGTATCTGACAGTGTGTCTTTATAGGCAATATTAGTGTAATGTGCAAGCTTCTGTGTAACATGCCAGCTGCGGTATCCATGTCTGTATAGCCAGTATAACCGCCCTTCAGTGTAACACCCCAGCTTCAGTATCTGTATCTTTGTAGCCGGTACAACCGCTCTTCAGTGTAACACCCCAGCTTCTGTATCAGTATCTGTACGGTGTGACCGCCCTTTGGTGTAACACACCAGCTTTGCAGGCATGTGGCATACATGTAGCAACAGGTGGTTCTGTATCATGACTTTATTTGACAACACCACTTCAAGCATGGGAGAGCTATATACATGCAAACACACTAAAACAACATACTGTAAAGCAGTACCCCAAAGGAGGAGCTCTTCCACAAAGCCAATAACAACATTTTTTTGACGACATACGTGTAAGCCATTGATGGTAGTAGAAATACATACATGCAAGTATGAGTTGTTGTTTGGCATCCTGCATGTCCATGCCATCAAGCCCATGCTCACCCTGTATACCTGCATAATGAGAAACTTTCTTCAGAATACTTCAACTTATCTTGATTCAGTTATCAGTTAAAGCTGCATTACGTAACATAAAGACAATCTAAACAGTAGATTTGTTGGTCATTTCTTTAAAAAGTTAAATTAACCCTACTCCAGTGGAAGTATATGCCATTCAGGAAGTGGCGGTGCCAAAATATGACGCCTTATGAGTGTAAGTGCACCTCCTTTGAACTGTTTCAGTACCAACCATAAGGCCACACCAATTTAATTTGTTGGTTCTCGGATTTTTTCAGAAAAAATATGAAGCGACAGGGCGAAAAAAAAATAAAAATAAAAACAGGTCTAGGCATCCTATCATAGGCTTAAATGCTACGAAATGAGCCATGAAGTCAACACAAAAGGCTGGGTTAAAATTTAAACATTGAATTTTGAACTTTTAATCAAACCACTGCAATGATAGATGGGAAAACTGTAACAACTAGGAAGAAAAGGACTTTCCTCAACTGTTGGGGGGCAAAACATGAGCATTTTTCAGTTGATTCAGGAAAAGAATCAAATTTTTTTTTTTGCAAATCAGAAAAAAACGAAGAGGCGAATCCGAGAACCAACAAATTAAATTGGTGTGGCCTTAATTAAACAGGTACATGTACAACAAATGTAGCCTGGTGTCCAGCCTTGTTAGCTTTAGTCCGCTTCCCAAGATCCGCTACCCAGCCAACAACAGTGGATTAAAGCTAACAAGGCTGGACACCAGACAAATGTACTTGTGTATGCTGAGTATGTTGTATCAGCAGGAACAACAAAAGTTATCATCATTTCCCTGTTGTCTACCCCAGGCTTTATCCTGCCTTCCATACGTTGCGGCCGATGGTATGTGGGTGTCATCGCCGGAGACACAAAGCCTGAAGAGGAGAAACTGTGGAGCAACAACATCAAAGTTCAACCCATAGATATCAGCTGTCCAAATGGTCAGCATTGTAATCAATTAGAGACTCAATTATAATATAATTATTATACAATGTCATGTAACATTGAAATATAATATTATATAAAATTAGATAGAGACATCAAAAATTTACATAAAGAGTCAGACTCTGTTTTTACACAACCAAGACTAGTGTTTTATTCTGACTGGTTCACATTGCACAGCACAGGTGTCGCTGCTATAGATACATGTATCTACATGGTTGCAGGGTATGATTGTAAAATGGAACAAATCTATAGCTGAAATGACAGCTGTGCTGCAGTGCAATGTGAACCAGTCACAATTGCCCTGAAGAAGGTGGCAGATGGCTACCTGAATATTGGCTGAATAAAACACTGTCTTGGTTGACGTGTA